ATTTATGCTTGACTTTAATGCATGTGGCACAGAATGAGAGCTTCTTTGAACTGATGATAACAATTCCAAAACAGAGCTTCTGCAACATTTTAATTAGATTCTTCTCATCAATATGGCTCAACTGCTAGTGCCACTTGTCAATCAGTAGCTGCTTCAGCATAATGGTGAGTAAGCAGGTTGATGAGAACAAAATGAAGGTATCAGTATCTGAATTCTTCAGGTTAATTAGCTGCTCCATGTCATTGCAGTTGAAAAGACCCAGTGATGCAGCATTCAAATCATAATCTGTTGAAATCATCCTGGGCTTTGAGACCATCAAGTATGCCAGTGGTCCAAGCTCTAGATCATTCATAATACCTCTGAACATAGAGAAGGTGTCAGATAGAATGTATATATTATTGAAATTCAAAATCACATAGAAGATGTTGTTTCCTATAGGTGCTATTATCTCAAAGTAATTTCCAGCATTCACCTGTAGATCACAGTGAATATAGCTCTGACACTTCAATAGACCAGCAAATATGAGATTGATGAATAAGCCTGGCATCAAATAAACATGATCAAATTCAAGTAATCTTTCTCTGACTGGGATGAAGACAACCTCAATTCCTTGAACCTTCAAGGTAGTCTTATTGACCACTTGAATCATAGAGCTGCTAATCTCTGTTATTTGAGAAAATCACAATTGATCACACACAATATGACATCTGGCCCCACTATCTCATATGATGAGTGAGTTGATAATTGATTCAGCAGAGTATGCAGGCACCTCAATGACCTGCACTAGATTTGCCATTTGGAATGTCTTGAAGCTGTCATTTGCAGTTGACAGAGCCTTCTTGCCCTCACTACTCTTCTTATTATTATATTTTTCTATTCTCACTGTGTTGATGGTTCTTCATTCTTCAGAGACACTATCTGAATTAGCTGCTCAGCAGAGTCTACCATGATGATGCTTGCATTCTGAGCAGATTGAGACATCAGACTTTGAACATCCACTCATTCAATAGTCTCTGTGTCCCCTGGGTCAGTCCTCACAGGCTGAATTATTTTGAATGTTGCTGCTATTATTGAAACCCACAGCTGTGTTTTTGGCCTGAGCCACATTGACTGAAGAATTAGCTGCCTGAATGGGCTTCTTGATCTCTTTGAGAGGATTCAATTGAGAGTGTATTTCCTCCATGATTGAATGAACATCTAATATGACAGACTTTGATTTGAACTTTTGTACCTCCTCAATTTTCTTTTGCACATAGTTTCATCATATATTAGGAAGTGCAGAATAGAACACATGGAATACCACATCATTTGACAGTAAGATATTGAGTATTTCCAATTTCATAGTAATGTCATTGAACTTATCAAAAAATGTGTGTACATTGATGCCTTGGACATCACTCATTGATGTAAATGCCAGGACTGCTTCCCTGCAGAGCTGTGTTCTCAGGATGAAGAACTTCTCCTCAATCACACATCAAAGAGAATAAGCAATCCTGCCCTCATCATACTTATTAAAATGAGGTCTAATGCTGGCTGCCAATGCATTTGAAATGAATGTGTAAAGTCAGCAATTTTTGACCTCTCAAAAAGAAGCTTATTCAGGGTCCTCATCAGGGCTTTTGACTTGCTTGTCCTCCAATATAACCCAGCATTGAGTGTCAATTAGCTTGGCCTTCATATTCACATGCCAGGAGAGGTAATTCAAAGATCTGACCAGAGTATTCAGCTTGATGGCATATTTAGTATTCTGTTTGAACTGGCTGATCACCTTGCTGATGCAGCTATCCAGGTCATAGAGGTTATATTGCATTCAGGACCTCAAGTTCAGATCTCATGCTGACATTTGACCTGCTGATGGATTTGCAGGCATTGCAGTCCTGTCATTCTGAGTGCAGAGCTCCTTCAATTGAAGTTGAAGCTGTAATTCTTTGTGTCTCTTTTTTTGAAGTTCTAAATCAATCTTTTGATGTTCAAGATTCAATCTCCTCAGTTGCAATTCTTTGAAGTTGGTTGTTGGTGACAGATTGAAGGTCATCACAGACATCTCTACCCCATCTTCTGAAAGAGTCAGGTCAGTATATTTGACATGATGTAGATGGACTGACCTCACTGTGATAGGGGCTGTAATCAGCCCAGCTTGCTGATTGAGCATTCCAGAGGGTCCAATATTGAAACTCCTGAATGCTTCTGAGGGGGTTGATGAGCTTAGAGCCTCTTGATCATTTTCAGATTGATCAGATTGACTGAATTGACTTGATCATGACTGCAAGTGAGTCATCATATATTTCATTATGTCATATTAATCTTCTTTATAACAGAGTAATCTTATTCAGTGAGATTCTTGCCTATAAGCTTGATTGAGCAGATTGACATGTTCTTGTGCAATCAATCACTGAAAAATTAACAAGTTGCAGATTTTTCTTTCACCTGCTAAGCAAATGAATTGAATACAGAAAAAATAATAATAACATAAGAGTGTGCCAAATCAATCAATTGATATAAAATAAGACAATATTATATTGAATGAAGTGAGCAGCAATTAATATATGCTATATTTGACAAGAATTCCCTGAATTGGCAGTTATTTGCGCAAAACAGGTCTCATAACCTGTCAAGGATAGATTGCTTGATTGATTATGAGGCGATCGCTAGCTACGCGGAAGTTATATATGATGCAGATTACATAAGAAGGCGAATAGACCTGACATTATCATATTGCTTATCAAAGCACTTTAGAATTAGCATCTTCTAAAGAATCAGCATTATTTCAAAATTCAGTATTCAGAATCAGTACAGATCAGCATTTCTTAAAAATTAGTTCTTTAGCATTAGCATTTTATAAAGATTTAGATCACTGTATTGTTAATTTCTCATTTCATGAAAGATTAGAGATAAAAATCTATTGTTACTCATTTATGTATATAAATACTCTGAATTCTCAAAGTTTCTTTAAAAGATTCAGTCATTAGTTATTATTTAATCCTATATATACATTTCATTTATCACTATTCTCTTCCCTTCATAGTGTTTGCAGTGTCTATATATCTACTCTTTTATAATCTTAGTTATAGAGCTTTTTACACTTTTTTTTAACATTTAGTTCATTTATTTTAGTGTTCTCACAGTTTTATTTTATCAGTGATAATTTAAAAAGAAAAAAAATATTAAATATTTTGATATCAAAAATTATCTCTTTCTTAAAATTGAAGAATAACTATAAGTGCTACTTATTTTTGATGATTATAGTAGTTATCTAACTATAGAATTTGATAATTTTTTTAAAGATAATATAATTATCTATTTCTATATATCTACTTATACATTTAATCTTCTTCAATTACTAAATATTGATACTTTTGAACTATTAAAATATAAATACAAAAAGCTGATTGAAGAAATGATGATTGCAGAAAAGATGATTTTTTTTTATATATTTGCACATGAGAAGATCTTTACAAAAGGAAATATCTATGATGACTTTGCTAGAGCAGAGTTTAAATTATTAGATATAGAGAGAGTTTTATCAAAAATCATCTTTAAACTATGTATATCAACATCATCATTATCATTTTTAGTTAATACTAAGGACTCAATATCTTTAGCATTTTAAGCATTTCAAATCACTCATCAGTTTGATCATAAGATTTATCACTTTTAAAGAAGTTTTAATAAGAAGACACAGCTATTTAATAGCTCAATATCTCATCTTTAACATTTTGAGAAGGTTGCACAGATGACTATGAATACAAATATTCTTCTTTATCAAGAAATCAAGATTTTACAAGTAGAGAATGAGTAGAAGATGAAGGAAAAGATATGAAGGCATGCTAATCTAGGTCAGGATGTTATTTTCTTTATACAGGAAGATCATGAGCGTGTTCAGCAGCTTGATATGCAGGTTGAAGCTTAGATTGAAGCTATGTTTCATCAGTGAGCTCCACAACACTGCAGTGGCTGTGGGACTATTGAGCATACTATACACAGTTGCCCTAATAAATAGTTATATATTCAACTATTAGATAGTCTTGATTTATTAATATTTTCAATATTTAAGTGTATTGGTTGTTGAATACATTGAAAATTTGATGATTTTCAGAGAGAACCCGCGCTCGGTGGTATCCGCCGTTCGGTGGTGGATTAAGTTAATATCTACTGCGTATGAGTGTGTAGTATTGCTAATGGCGAACGAAATATTACCTCCTGCTCAGATGATCTCCTAGATTTGATGCTCGGAATTTGGTGTCTCATTTATCAGATAGTTAGTTACATTGCATGCTGATCAGGTTGCCAATATAGCTATTCCGATATCAACCGTAAATATCAAAGCAAAAGCATCAAGCACAATATGGGAGCCTCTCTGCATTAGTTACATGCAACCACTGTCCTAGCTTTTGCTCATTATGGGAAAACAATACCATGCATAAATTCATCATATCAGCTCTTCCAGATTTTGCCAATATCCATCACCAGCGACTCCCATTCTCCAATTAAAACAGCCGTTTTCAAATCATCATAATCGCTGACACGCCTTAGCTTGCCCAAACACTTATTTCCGTAGTTCATCCATATCCACCCCCGCCACCCTTGCCAGCACAGTGCTTTTCAACACCTCAAACTTCCCCACAGTGTTCCAGTAAAGACAACCTTCCGTTCTTGTCGCCACAACCATATATGTGACCAGCCATCAATCAAGTGCGCCCCTATTGTTCCATCAGCGTCCCAGTGACAGTCGTGTTTTAAAATCAGCGTCCAGACATTTAAAAACATACGTAATAAGCGTTAGCATTACCTTATAGCTAATCACAGGGTATTCGAGGCGAATTTTCCGTTAGGGCAATGGCCTGCAATGTGGGAATCTTGAATGTCTGTCCTAGGAATAGATGTAACCGCAGCGGAATAATTCCATCTCATGGCCCTCATGGGTCACGAGACCCTCGAGATAGTAGGTGATGCCATGGGGAGGGTTAGTGGGGGTCCTTTCCAAGATGTTGACGACCCTTTCACGAGGCGATGAGTTGCGAGGCATCCTCACTGATTTCCTTGAAACATTTGATCACTGCAAAGTCGGCGTGGCAGGTATTCTCAAGGATTGGGTGGCATGTTGTTGTGACTTTGTCATTGGCCTGAGGCTGCTTTCAAGAAGACCAGAATTGGAGATGCAAAGGTGAGACATGTTGTAGATTTTCTGTTGTTACCTGCGCCAATGTACATGTCCCACTTCTGGTGTGCTTGGCGTAATCGCTATTGAGTTGTGCATGGAAGTAGTTAGATGTGACAATGAGAAGTAGAAATGCCCATTTTTCCTTCCTTTTGACCAGCGATAGGATGAGGGAGTTATTGATTAAAGGGATCTCTTTGAGGAGGAACATACTGGCTAATCCTTTCTCTAGTATTTTTAATATAGAACAATTTCAACAGCTAGCTCAGGAAACGGATGATCGATTAGATTACCTCCTGTTTTCCCTGGGATCTATTGCCGTTCTCTTTGATAGGATTGTGTGCAGCAGGATTAGAGTCGCTTCACTTTCCGGCTCTTTGGCAGCATCCTGTGTAGTTGAATGTGCGTGTCCTTGACTATTGATATTTTGCATTACGATCTCCTGTTGTTCCTTAAACGCCCCAAGAGCCATCCGTTTCCAGAACAAAATATCTTTGAACTCCAAAGCAAAGTCGAGAACCTTGCAGAAAAGTTTGTAATCGGGACATGTCTCGAAACTCTGAGTAATTTTTCGATGAATTTTGAAGATATTGATGAAATTTACCCGATACCTAACAGAAATGCGAAAATAACAGAAAAGAAGTGCGTTGTTAGATACTCGGCAACGAACTGTATCGTAAAACTTAGGGAATAGGGAGAGAGGGGAGGGAGTTATATGTGGTTGGTTGGTTTGCACACTTTTTTCCCCTTTTCTTGGTAGGTAAACGGGATAATGCCACCGATCAAACTTGGCTTTCCAATTATCGACTTTCAGTGGATAGTTGCACCTGGATTCAGCAGTTACCATCTATATGAAGCAGATCATTCTGATCCAGAGTTTCCAATTTCCAAGATACTTGACGAGGAAACATCCCCCTCCATGAGGACTCTGGGAGGGTCAATTTCCGGGTAGAACTTCCAAAGATTGTCCATTGCAGCGGGCTGCGAACTGCCGGAGTGGGCAAATAAGGTAGTTGGCTAATGAGATGTTCCTGCGGGTAAAGAGTGAGAGGGTTAGTTAGAAAGATGGAGTGGTTCTTTTCGGATTAGGGGGGGAGTGGGGGGGGGCAGGGCATATGTGTGGTTCTGAAGTGTTGATCTCGTCGATAAAAGGTGATTGGTTAGGGGGAACCTGAGATAAGAGGCCAAGGCGGGTGACGGAGTTAATAGACGAGAGAAAAGCTCCAACTAGTTGCCGTCCGATCATGCAGCAATAGAGCAGCGGTGCTCTTCATTCTCAGACGAATAACACAAGCATGCTTTTCGTATCTTAAGAGTTCATAATGAGGAGGGGCATTCAAAATAAATGATCACCTTCTTCTTAAAACATAACAAAACAGAAACAACCCAAAAAAACACCTCAGATGAAACTCAGTGCTTCCATAGTTAATTTTCAATTAGTAAAACAGGCATGTTGAGCATCATATGAATACATCAACAACTTGTCTACGAGACTGAACGAGTGTGAAACGAGAGAATTAAGCAAAGGAATTTTGAGGTGGCCGAATCTCTCAAATTCTTGTAAAAACCTGATCATGCGAGGTTCCTCGCAGCCGGGAAGTATCGTACAATGAAGACACCTCCTTGTCAAGGCGCGTTAATAGCAGAATGCCAAAATAGACAGATGTAGTAAGATGGTTAAAACAAAAAAAGACATTAAGCAAACCCAAAAAGGCTTGGAAAAGGAAAATCGTTGCGAAAGACGTCGCAGACTTGGCTGTAGAAATGTTTCCTTCCGGAGGATTAGTTTGGGGACGTGAAGGCAAATTGCCGGCATACGTCAGGGGGATATATTAAAAAAGAGCAGAGGGTTTGTTTTCTTCTAAACCAAAAATTGGCGGCCAACCTCGAAAAGAAGGGAATGTTTTTCGCGTGAGATAGAAAACACAACCTCGGGAGAACTTCTCGTTGTCAATACTGCACATTCTGGTTTAGATTTCTCCCTGAATCCAATTTATTAAACTCCTAGGCGCTCGACCTATTCCGTAAAACTCCGTGCAATCTCATTTAGATGACTTTGGGAGACCGGTTGTTGCTGTTCTCGGCCATAGAAATGCTAAGTAAGCCCCTGGTGACAATGGCGGACAGGGTGATATTAGCCAACAAGATAGAAGGAGGAGAGAGCTTACCTGATCTCGACAATGTCATCGATGTGGTTGCACATTGCCACGAAAAGATCGAAGAACAATTTGCCGCCACTCTCCATCTCCATCTGCATGGTTCCACTCCTCTTAAAAGTCTTACGACTTCTGATGATCAGGGCAAGAAAATGAGCGCGGAGCCGCGACTCACTGTCAGGTGTTTGGTCGTACGCATACCGAGCCGATCGAAGGATCACGTCGACAGGGATTCCAGTCTGAAGGCCTTGTTTCCGAAGGGCAAGAGCCTTCAGGTCATCCAAGCCGTACCTCTCAGCAGTGCAATACACAGCAGTATCTCTGAGGACACTGGCACCAACACCAGAGTGGAAAATTGTCGATTCGCTTGACCCGCGGCCTCCTTTATTGAAGGGGTCCTGGGCGTCCTCGAGTGCCCAAGAGTTGCGGCGCCTGTTGTGAAGTAGGCGGGGGTAATAGTCACCCTTGTACAGGTACTCGAGAACACAGGACAGTATCTCGGGTTCTCTGTAAAAGGAGGGTTATATTTAGGTTTTGCCTTCGATAATTAAACTTATAAGCTCAAAACTTACTCGTCAGGCAGGTCCACCTGCTTTGCGCTACCGTCGAGGACATGGTCCTTTAAGGCAGCAGCAAAGTAGGGCGAAATGGACAGGACATCCTCATGAGCAGCAAAAAGACGCTGTTCATGACCCACAACCATGGTGATTATGGGGCTGGTTATTTTGCTGCTGTTACACAGAGAGGTCAATAAAATATACAAACTCTCATGAAGACTTTTTGTTTATAAAACGATATTCACGAACTTCCCAACCGGTGGGCTGTCCAATCTCTCCTGCATCTTGACCTTCGTGCGCTCACGATAGATCTTCTTGGTCGGCTTGACGGCCTTGCCCGCCCGATCCCTTGTGGTAAAAGAACGTTTGAACATGTTCGTCAAAGTCGAAAAGGAAAACTGGTCAATGAATGAAGGAACGAAGGACGGTAAAGAGCGGCAGAGGAACCCAGGGGGTTTATATAAAAGGAGCGTGTTGGCGTTGCCAAGTTTGACGACGACGCTGCTTATCACGCACGTAGCATGGGAGCCTTGGAAGCCTTCTTTTTCAAGAATCCAGTCCTCCACCCACCGCCAATCTCCAGAGAAAAAGGACAAACAGGAAAGGATGCACTCTCGAATTTAGGCTTTTTCGCACAGGATTCCACGAATTGGAATCGTTGTGCGGTCGATAAACGGTCAGCTCTGAGAAGCGTAAGGAAGAGAAGAGAAAAAGGAGTGAGAATGGTGGGAAGTCAAGACGACGTTGATATGTTGGCAGCCTGTCATGTGACAGCTATACTACCCCTGACAGTATATAAGATACAAGCCCCTAGCTTGGGGCGGTGTTAGGGCAAGGCAGCCACTGGGGGAAGTCGACAGAAATTCTACACTATTATCTGTAGACTGTATGGGTATTGTTCCCACAGTCCGCATCCTCGCAAAATGGCGCTGATGACTTGACCAAATGGATTTGTCCCCGCCCGCAGTCTCTGTTTGGCTCAGGAGCTGATTTAATGGGACGGGAACCAGAAATTTCATCACATAGTTAACCGAACCTATTCTGAGCACGAACTCGTTGAAGCGGTTGAGCCACACTTGGGCTTCCTCGTGGCAAAAGGAGAACAGACACTTGATAATGACAAAGGAACAGGGGTTCCAATTGATATCCAGAGCAAAAAAAGCGAAAGAATCAACTCTTCCTTCATGATCATTAATCGTTTAATTCAGCAACCGCATCGTTATCCTCAAGCTTTAAACTAAGCTTAAACTTTCTAGTCGCCTCATCACTCTACATATTCCATCATAATGCGTGGCCCTGATATCTCCCAAAGTCCCTTGTTTTCGGTCACTTGGATATTTAGAACAAGCAGCTCATGACCAAGAAACACGCAAACCCCTTGGTAACTTAGGTGCTTCCCCGTCCACACCATTCAAACGGCAGCTCCCTCCGCATGCAGGGCTCCCGAGTAAAAATGTGCGAACCCCCGCACATCCGCCCTCTCTGGTTCAAGCTATAAAAACACCAGTTTCCCCTGTCAGTCTAACCAGTTTCTCACGGACAAAGCAAAATCTATATTTGCCCGACTTTAGCATTCCAGGTGTAAGGCCGCGAGTCGACTGTTGGAACTTTTCTACTGTCATTCTGGATGATGACACCGTGGTATCTCAAACGTTTGCGAGATGCGAAAGACCCGCAAGGAACATCTAACTTCTCTTCCTTTTGCGTATTTTGATGGCTTGAAGGGCGATATTCCCCTGATGTCGGGGCTGATGTGAGCTAGTTTTTTTTTTTTTTTTTTTTTTTTTTCAGTCGCAATTTCTCGTCTGGTCATTTATCTCTCGCAACATTACACGAGGATGAACAAGGGGCAGGTGAAAACAGAATGCCAACCTGCTTTGCCTCATCTAACCTGTCCATGAACTTGAGGGTTCCCATCCAACTCTACCTATATGATTTCATAATTCAACTAGCAGCCAATGCTGTAAACATTGTTCTTGAGTAACACGCACTAAGCCTCTCGAACTTTACAACCAAACTTATGTATACAAATGATACATTCAACGAGAAGGTTTTCATTTTGGAGTCCATCATGTGATTGAAGTCGTCGAACAACGGGTTGTGTCTTCTTTGCAGGTACCTAGATCTGAGGAAACTAACTTCTAGGTAAGCAGTGGCCATAGCATTAGAGGAGGAAAAGGTTATTAATAAAGGGTATAACAGTGTGGAGTACAAATGGATAACTAACTAGTTAACTAACCACTCCTCATTATTATATAGCAAAAATTTCATGATCGAAATGCAACATAGAGTTACCTTAAAAATTCTTTGTTATAATCGTGTGTGTGAAGCAATCCAAGACTTGAATCCTCCTGGTGTTCCATGAATCTGAGCTAAAATTCTGGGATATCTTGATTTTAGAGAATTGGCGGGAACTTGGGACGCAGAGCTTATCGATAATAAGTTAAGTTGCCCTTTTGCTGTTGACTCAGGCACGTACACAGGCCAAGCCCTAACCCAAACAGCCCAAGCACGATCTAACCCTCAAATATGACGTCTGAAAAAGTCAAGGCGCAGTTTTCATATCTTGGCTGGCGCACCGCCTGATCACCTCCAATTTTGCTCTTATTATTTATATAACTACCTTGTAATCGCACTTCATCCTGTGGCAATATGTTTTAACTACGACGATACTCGCTTAGCTTAAGTAATTTCTTACACCAAGTTTATACTTCTGTATAGACAATAGCCCAGCCCAGTTTTGTTTGTTCTCCTGTCAGGGACCTCTGCGCAGCCAGCACATCCACACCACAATGGCGTCGCAGTATATCAACTACATAAAGTCTAGAGCGCGCAACTCAAAGGCCTTAAAGGCTAAAGAGCCTGTTCTGACGACGGAAGATGAGGAATTCTTACACCGCGTGGCCTCACCCAAAGAGGAGGGACGAGATGCACAAATCGTTCTCATGGAAGGTGCACAGAATATCCCCCTGCCACAGTCACCTACGAAAGAGACTTCTACCAGGGAGTTGGTGGACAATGATGGGATGGGTAGGAGTATGAGCAAGTCGTCGAAGGGGAAGAAGGGGGATGAGAATGTTGGAAGTCCTAAGGGGAAAAGGAAGGGTCCGTGGAACTGGTTTACGCATGGGGCGGATAGGAGGAAGAAGGTATGGTCCTTAAAATTATATCCCCCCCCCCCCCCCCCCCCCCCCCCCCCTCCCTCTCTCTTTTGTTCCTGTGTCCGTGTTTGCCTTTTGATAGTCTGTGTTCCTTGCTGTCGTATTAGGAAAATGCCGCCGCAGGGCTATCCCATATCGCCGAAAACCTCAAAACACCCGGTACAGAGGAGGTGAAGGAAGAAGAGGATCTAACCATGATGCTCGAAAAACTAAACCTGGCCGCAGTCAACAATCGCGTTTTCTCAATCAGTGATGAGATACAAGATCTTCTCAAGAGATTCAACCTGATCCTCAAAGATCTGGTCAATGGCGTTCCCACAGCATACAACGATCTAGAATCACTCCTCACGAACGGAGATAGACAATTACAGAAGACTTTCAATCACCTCCCAGGCTTCCTTCAGAAGCTCATCGAGCAGCTGCCGGATAAAGTGACTGAGAAATTCGGCCCGGAGTTCCTGGCAATGGCTGCGGAGAGAGCGGGGAAGAGCGGGATTAGTATGGATGAAGCGGCGAAGAAGGCGAAGAAGGTGGGACTGAAGGTTCCTAGTTTGAAAGAGCTGGTGGGAAAACCCGCAGCAATTGCGGGCCTGTTGCGGTCTATTGTTAGCTTCCTGCAAGCGCGGTTTCCAGCGCTTATGGGTATGAATGTTTTGATGTCGCTTGCGTTGTTCAGTAAGGAACGCCCATCTCATATATTTATTCGCTATACATTTATTTCCTTCCATTTTTATTTTTGTTTTCCTTTTGAGTTCCCCTTTCTATACTATCGATTGATCTAGGAACGAACTTTGCTAACAGCTCAACTTCAATTTCCTTACTTACCTATAGTTCTCCTCTTCGTCCTCTGGTACTGCTATAAACGTGGACGTGAAGTGCGTCTAGAGAATGACAAGCTCAATGCAGGGGGCCAAGATGCTACGATCACAAATAAACCCGATGAAAATGATAACAACAACAACACATCGGAGATGCAGACCACGAATCTTGCACCCAATAATCGCACATCAATCCAAATTGAGCCAGCAAAGAAGGGAGGAGATGAAGAGGAAGTCGAGGCTGGAGTGAGGGATGCGCGGGACGATGCAGGTGTAGCTGTCTTACCGTCCGCACCCACACTCGTACCCGTACCGACGATGACAACTACGACCACTTGCAAGCACTGACAACGTATCATCACCTGCTGCATCTCAAGCTGAGAATCAACCACGTCGTTCGAAAATTGAATTATATCCGTGGACCTACACCTGTTTTGAGTAGTGGCCTTTGCATAGGGCTTTTAGTTTAATTAATTTTTTTCATTTTTTTTCATTTTTTTTCATTTTTTTTCATTTTTTTTCATTTTTTTTCTTTTTTCATTTTTTTTTTTTCCATTGGGAAGGGGAAGGGGTTTGTTATTTTCTCTTTGGGTATAGTGAGGTGGACACGTAGAAAAGGTCCGACTAGATTGAAGAGTGGAGAGGAGGAGGAGGGGATGGGAACCAAAGAAAAACTACTATGATTGAAATGGGAAGGATGATAATAATAACTTGGAATATGATTGGCTTTTGTCAGGGACACGCATGCATGCTTCTGTGGGTTTAATGGGGATAGTGGGGAGAGGGATAGATTATGAGCGGGGTTGAGGAATTATTAAAGTGCTGCACTTGGAGGCGGTCTGGAAGATTGTTCTTCCTCCTCTCTCATCCCCCGTCTCTTTTTTTGCTGGATTTCGGTTAATTAATTTCTTGACATTTCGTTTTTCTTCCCTACCCCGGGATCTTTATGATATAGGAACTGGATATCCCCCCTTATCTTGTTATTTCATACACTATAATTGTTTAACAGATGTATTATATTTGTGTTGTCCGTTGCATTATACAATATGCAGTCAAAGTTAAGTTGCATTAATGAAAGAAATTTTAACCTGACTACAAACTTAAATATCACGTGAATCGAGAGTTACATCCATGGATCCAGGATCTGGCAAGCAATGGAACAAGTCTACTTTAAAAAAAGGGTAGTGGGGAAACTCAATTGTTCTAAGTTTTATTCTTTAGATTTGTGATAGATCTGGCCAATATATAAAATTATATATATATAGTTCTACTGGTGGCAAAAAAAATAATAATATAACCAATGAAAAAAAAAGTTGATGTAAAACAAAAAAAAAAAAAAAACGAAAGACACCACCTCGGATAGCTTGGCGATACTCAGAACTCCCGCTGATTCCAGGAAGGTTTTGCTGCGGAGGCGGAATTCCAACGGGAAACAAGAGAGAGGGAACTTCTACCATCGTTCATCCATGGCGTATGGTGAATTTTTCCGCGGTCTCGTCCGGTCGTATCGTGTCGTGTTACCAATCCTCGACTCATCATCCACGTCTGCAATACTGATGAATCATGATATGCGCTTACCATTTTTCTAACAGCAACGTGTCAATAAGTTGCCGGCCAAGTGCGCGCCACTAGCCCCGGTACGAATCGTATGATTGACGATGGCGATTTACGTCGGGATGGGTCTCACTGGCCAGACGGGAATGATTGGTATGCGGTTGAGTATTGAAATCTGGAATCTGTTGATTGTCTGGGGATAAAGATCGTGGGATGGTGGTGGGTCGTTGTAGGAGGAGGGGAGTGTATGAATAAAAGGAAGGATGAAGAGATATCTGATAATAAAATAATGATATGTTGCTTTGATATTGTCAGAAGTCCCTTCGCCTTGCCTTACATTGCTCGACACATATATGTCCATGTACGTGCTTCGTCGTTGGCAGATACCAAGAGTGTAGTTTTAGCGGAGGGAAGCACATTATTTGCCATCTTAACGGAGTGGGGTCTCCCTGTCCGAGCAGGCAGGCTAGTGTTTGGAAATCCCACTGGTGGCGTGCGACAGTTAACGCACGGACTTGAGTTAATAGTGCTAAATTATTCTGACTCACATACAGTGCAGATAACTAACTAACTAGTTACTGATAACTATATTTTTTTTATTTCCTCATGGCCAAAAGTTATCACAGCCCCAAAATGCATAAACTAATGTGTTACGTGGTTGGATGTGTCGCTGCTCTTGCTGCTGTTGGGGTGTGATATCCGCGGTACGGAATCATAGCCTGCCTGCGGTACCTCCCCGCCTGTTCTGGGTAAGGAGTGACAAGTTATCTGGTACCAACCCTAAGATGCGGTGAGCTGACCCACCAATCAAAAGGTTCATGCCCAAGCCAAGTACCCATCAGGACCCGCAGGTGCTAGTCTGATATGGCCTAGCGTCCGGCCCGCCAACCAATACGCGCATACCCCACCATCGGACTAATGTAGAACCGCCCCGGCCGGTCCTCTCGGCCTGGCTGCTCATTTTTCTGCTTTTTTCTACCCTCTTCTTCTGTTCTTCTTCTTCTTCTTCCTCCCCCGCAACCACCAACAAAACATACTAATTTGCGTACCCAAGATCAAACGGAGAACAGAGCCATACTTCGTCACTACAAATATCGTCGAGGAATCACGCCAAATGGCTGTCGCTGGGCTCTAAATCCCCTTACTGGGAGAGCAACGGCGTGACTTGAATAGCCCACCCCATTGCTCTCCCAGTCCAGGAAGCCCAACGAGTACATTTCAATCGACTTGACGATATTTGATAACTCTTTCGACGGTTACGCCGTACGTCGAAATTGCCCCCAGTACCAGCTCAGAGCAAATACTTCAAACGTCCGTCGAAGGGTGGGGTGTTTTTGTAGTCCGGTTTTTCTTCTACTGCTCTATTCCCCCGGCCCCGCCTGTCCTCTCCTTTCACCATTATCTCTCTTTGCTACATGGAAACTGCCGTCTCTCCCTAATCCGACATCTTCCGCAACTCCTTTTTGTAAACTATTTCCATATCTACATTATTTACTCAGTCATTCCCCTGAAACTCTTCCCATCTAATCACAATTGATAATACCACTACGACCTCTCAATTGAGCCTTCCCTGTCCATTGTTATGTCTCCTTTAAAGGCTATGAAATCGAGGCGTTCGCCCGGAAGGATATCGCGCTTGGTTGGAAACCACCGCACGCCTCTTGGCGACAGTGATTCGACAGCCTCCATTTCGGGCGTACTCGGCTCAAAGGTTACAAAAAAATCGACTCGGTTCCCCTCTGTTAAACGCAACATCCCCATTGCGGGGCAAGGAAACAATAAAAAACGAAAACCTTCATCTTCCCTGAATGAAGATTCAACTTCTGAAAACGACTGCGACGATGAGGACGACAACGAAGATAATGAAAATAGCATCGATGAAGATCCTGAATTTCCAGAAGCGTTTGCCCCGTCTTATGGCCGGAAGAAGGGATGGAGCCATAAGGCGGGGCGTCGGGATTGTTTGTCACCCCCCAAGGATAGAAAACGGGTAAAGCTCCAGCACAGTGGCTATGAAAGCGATGTCGAAAATAGTTCCGTTAGTTCTGCTAGCCCGCTGAGCTCTGCGGGGTCTGTCGACTCTGACTCAGACGACGGGTATGAGGCTGTCAATGATGTCAGTGATGTCGATGATGAGGATCAAGATATTGAAATGATGGAAGAAGAGATAATTTTGAACTCGGAGTATGAACGGGATTTGCAGACGGTAGCTTCTACATTTTCATCCGGGGTTCCAGATGAATGGTTGGGATTGGACGATCTTGAGAGTCGTCCCCTTTACTCTACTGGCTCGTTCTTTGAGGATGAGCAGCTCTTTTTACAATCTGGCTATGTCGAGGCAGCCGAGGATCCCGACCTGAGCAACGTACCTCTGAATCTTCCCACTCGACAGGTTCACTTCGCAGAATCAGATAGTTCTTCAGACTCCGATAAGACAACCGATGATGAACTTCTGTCTGATTTCCTACAACAAGATGCTCTCGACCCAGATCTCCGAAGACTGATTGAAAATGATTCTGAACCCGGTCGCCACCTAAACCCTAATGAACCGTTTTTAAGCCAAGACTTCTATGAGCTGCCAGGGAACATATATCACGTGGAAACAGAATCCTCTGTTGCAAGTTCCAGTGGCTATGACTGTATGTACTATATATGGCCAAACGCACCTTCTTAGCTAACTCGCGATTCTTAGCGGACTGCGGTGAAACCACAGATGAAGATTTGCCTCCTCCAGCAACAATCACACATCCCCGGTCCATCCTACGTCGTGACTCGAGCGCATCGTTACCTCCTTTTGCAGAGGAATCCACCCAGCGTTCCCAGCCATTGCGTAGACGTGGACCACTTAGAGGCACCTTCATCGCTGATCCCCACAAACCAGTCGCTGTTGTCGCTCCTAATGGAGCTCAATTGATTCTCATACCCCCTTATTCAACATCCAGACATGACTGGCTTGAAACAGCCGCCCAAAGCCTGTGTAGCACGGCTAACAATAGTCCTCGCATTATTACTACCGCTCTGGCTGATGATAGCGATACCGATGCTCTGTTGTCACCATTGCAGACTACCAACTTGAGCCCAATGCTTTCTTCCAATGCCAATCTCATGATCACTGCGCTGGGTAGTGATGCTGTTGGCCAAATAACTGGTCCTCCCGAGGCATTCTACCCTTCCCAAGGACTGCTTACCAACAGCTTCGACGACGAAGATGAAGACGATGATAGTGAAGGTGTTCTTAATGTGGACGACTTCATTGACTTTGGGAATGGCTCCTCTGATGAAGAAGAACTGGACAAAGACTTCGATGGTGTCAATGACGTTACCGCCTCCACAGTCGTTCCTTCTCCAATGGACAATAATAATAATAATAATAATAATAATTCCACAGAACTCACACAAGTCAATAATCACAGCAATAGTGCAGAGCGTCTCTTGAACCACCTGGACAAAGGTATCGTCACTGCCTTTCGCCGCAACCACTCTCGCTACCAAGCCTTGATCCGACTTCCACAACATCGGGAGTTCGTACCGGCTAATTCACCTTCTCGCCCAGCCAGCGTCTTCAGACGCAGCAAATATATTGAGCAAAAAACTCCAACTAGGAAGCAACGTGCCGTGGGAACCTACACTGGTGGTGAAGCGGTTCGTCGCAAGCTGATCAACTCACATCGGAGCAACAAGATTACCTTCTAATGGGCTGTTGTTCCATGCCACGTCTCAACATCCAGCTATACGATATTGAGGTCAGCGGCCAGTATTGATTAGCAGTCTATTTTGGCCTTGCCTTACCTTTCATTTCCCTTTACATGTATCTCTCTCTTTCCCTCTGTGTATGTCTGTGTGTCGCCTGTCCCTCCGCTTAATTAGCCTCCTCATTTTATGCATCAAGAACCTGTTTCTCTTCCAATGCATTTGATCTCTTGACGGTGACGAAGATTCACACAATTCACAACTCACAAAAACAAACAAAAAAAAAAACAAAAAAAAAAAACAAAAAAACAAAACAAAATATATTCGAATCCCCTTCTGATTTTCCCCCCTCCCTTTTTTGCGACTTTCTTACAACCTGAATCGGAAAGAAAAACCCAAAGCAAACCCGAAAGCAGAGAAAACTTTCTCGGCTTGCGAATTGCAAACGTCAGACGAAAAGTCGGTGATATCTCAAATTGCGTTATGTCTTCTCTTCACAGACAAACTGTGTAATAGCCCCAGTGGTGGCAAGGAGTCCTTTTTTTCATTTCATATTTTTTTTTCGGCATTCATCGTGGTGGAAAAGGGGTAAGGAGAAAAGTCGCCTAACCGAGGATCCAATCATTTACCTCTCCAGACCGAATTACATCTTCCCTCGTTATTCTGCAAACGTGGTTGGAGATGACAAAATATTCTGAAACGATTTCCGGTTCGATTTTAATGATTTTTGGTAAACATCGGTTAATGTTGCGTCTGTCTGTGTTGCCACTCGTGCGTTTGTGCTATGTTTGTAATGGATGTACAGTGGCTTCGATTTTCGCTCAAGTGCCTCTCCTCCCACATCCCCTTTTGTTTATTTTATTTTCGATTTTCGCTGATAATAGTACACTCGCGCCTGGTAATATCGGAGCATTTATTGATCAGCCTTCCCCCCTCAAAACTTTATTTATTTTTTTTTTTTAAAAAAGAAAACCGTTGATTAGGCCTTGATCTCATTTGGCGGAAAATGTTTCTGCTCCTCTCTATTCTATATACATCTGCATCACCACACTTTGTATATGGAGGAGAGGCGTCAGCGGGTTACCTGCGCGGAGTTAGGCTGGGTGGGAATCGAAATGAGGTTCCTGTTTTCTTTTACTTTTTTACACTTTTTCCTCTAATAGGTCATCTTTGGCACTTATTTCTTTCTCTTCCGGCTGGATATCCCTATTGCTGTTGTGACGTGGGTTGCTTGTGCTTTACCTTTTCTCCTCTCGCGCCTCATGGCTATGAGAGCGTCTTTGATTTCATTCTCCATTCCCCTCCACCATTAATGGTTATGAATAAGTACTGTTTGAACAGTTCTATCTGTGAGGGCGTCTCTTCTCCCCCACCCCTTTTTATTTTTCTAATCTTTTTTGAAAAGTCAAATGCTAGCTAGCAGTTTGTATACGGGTTGTTAGTTATTCCTTTGAATAACATTATTTTCAATTAGTAAATGTGTTGAACTTTCCCTCGACGTGATAGAAATATTTTTTTGGTAGACCCGTCGGGTCTCCTCTTCATGTTAGTTGCCTCTCAGTCGGGGGAATATACATCCCAGCACATCACCCGGCTAGGTAGGCATGACGTTACGGGAGCAAAAGCATTCATCCTTTTGGAACGGCTTAGTTTCGCCTTTCTTTTCCTCTCTTGGATGCGGAAGTGGCCAGAGTCTCTTGGGATAAAGTTTTTCAATTAAAAGAGGGAAGGGGGAGCAGGAGGGCGATAGGAGGTGATTTGAATGATATATATGTCATCATCTATAATGTCACGTATGAGAATACTCTCATCAACTGGGGATGTTGGGTCAAGTATCGGGAGCGATTCTAGGAAGACAAGCGTTTCAGACGCTACATTCGATCGGGCTTACGGGCTATTTCAACATGATATAATCACCAAACCCGAAAGGCGACGAGATAAGATCATGATATCATGATATGTCTTTGATTTGATATGCTGAGTTGGACTTAAGGTGCGAGCTTTAACTTCTCCGTTCAAACAAGATCCACTCCAAGGGTTTAACTAGCCATGTTGATTGGATTGATGTTGAGATGCCAAGCAAGCCATGGAATCTCCGGGACCCTTTGCCCAATCAGGAGCTTCACAACTGATATTACAAGCACGTGATATATATACTACCGGCTTGGTTGATTATCCATGGGATGCTAAATCCGACATCAACTGTTCGAACTCTACGGTTAGTTTCTTTGAATTTTTTTTTTTTTTTTTTATCTTTGTGGCTGGCTTGAAACCTTGCCACTTAGCTGTATCTCTCTATCTTCGCCAATATATGCTCGTTTTCTGGGAATTTGGGAATAAGAACCGGGTGAAGCGGACGAGGGATGAAGGCTAGGCGCATCTAAAGATGAGTGTGGAATGGGTTTCCCGTACCCATCTGATGATATAGGGGGAATATGATGTGAGATATGATGTGAAATATGATCCGTTGTTTCGAAGGGCTTTTTGGGGCTTCTGAGCGTTAAGGTTCCCCCTCCCTCTTCTTTTCTTGTACGGTCAATATTTCCGTGGTGACGAACCTCGAAGATTGACGCTTTGAATTCTGCTTTGCAAAGACTTCATTCTGTTGCGCTATATAGGGAGTCTACTGTTGGCTACAAATAAGGTTCCGAAAAACTCGTGGATCTTTTGTTTCTTAAAGACGAGATCTTCCAAACTTCTTAAAGTCTAAGGGGGGTTTTCACAGATGTTTAAACATACCGGAGATAAAATGTTCCGTATATGGAGTGGATAGATTATTCAGAATTCGCCCTTGGTTCCATCCATCACAGTTCCACCCGCATTCCTCTATTCTCAAGTTCTCTTTTTATTACTTCTGAAGGCACGCTACTCTCCAACTCTGCCGGTAACATGTGTGGTCTACGTCTAATCTGATGGATTCAAGTCATGCGTACATGCACAAAGCAATAGTTGAGATGGTCATCCCTCGCTTAGTATCAATGTGTCGGGTGGAGCATATTTACTAACCCCGTCTTACTAAACTCCAAGCTTTTCGCATCCGTGGACTTCCACGTTCATTGTGGAGTTGGCGGCAGAGGAGGGATATATCGAATCCTCTTGCCCTTTTGGTGCCGGTGTTTGTGAAGAGCAAATTATTTGTCTACTTTCTATTCTCTAGCTTGCGTTCACACCCCTCCTCCTCCTTTCATACATATGCTCTCCAAATACCAGCTATTGACGTCCTGTTTCCATTTGACTGCAGTCAAAGTTTCTCATTAGGATACATAACTTTTTATTACGTCGATATATTTTATATCCCCCCTTTCTTTTTCCTGACGTTAATTTCTTGTTTGAGTTTTGCTCCCCAAGGTGTATACAGTTGGACTGCAGATCTTTCCTTCTAGTACAAGATTTATTTGGAACCATGGTCCTACCAAACCTCTTCAGGAGCTCAGATGAAAATACCAGAACATCATGGGGTTACAGCTTTCAGTGGACGGCAGACCATTTGACACCCGAAAAGATGGAGCCCATGAAATATACCTACGATAGGTTAGGAGATGAATGTCTAAAACGATTAAATGAGATCTCGCCACCCCCGCAAAAGGCTCTGCCTCGTACCAACGAGCGACTTGCCCAGAAAGACGTTGGCGGCATGGAGAAACCTAAAAGAGACCTTTATGTGCTCCTTAGGGATAATGCAGATAAGGACAGGAAATTGGCAGCACTTTGGAATCAAATGAATACTACCCCTGGCTGGGTGGACTGGGATCAGATAGAGAGGGGTCAGGAAGTCTTTTATCGATATGGAATTCCAGCTCTGAATGCAGTAAGTTGATGTGATTTCCTGGATAGGAAAAACAACACAATAGCAGCAGTCGCTTATACTCCGTTTTCCTCCTTAGCTGGGTTTCCAAAGTTTGCTGGGAGGAATGTACGTGGTTTAGCTAACCTTATCCCCTTTTCTTAGATTGTTCGGTTCTAACCTTAAAACACAAAAAATAGGGGCGCTGGACGCATCGTTGAGACTCTTGCGCGTACAGGTGGATTTTCAGCAAAGATTGCTCGACGGAGAATGTTCGAAACGACCCAATTTGTTTTTCAAGTAACCATGTCTCTCAAGGACATCCAGCCAGGAGGGGATGGCTTTGCCTCTGCGGTCAGAGTTCGACTGCTCCATGCCGCGGTCCGAGAGCGGATTCTCAAACTTGCCGAAGCAAGACCGGAATATTATAGAGTAGAGAAACTCGGGATCCCAGTCAACGACCTCGACTGCATCGGTACGATCGCGTCCTTCTCCACCCTTCCCATCTGGCTCAGCTTGCCCCGTCAAGGAATTTTTCTCCGCGACCAGGAAGTTGTTGATTACATTGCGTTCTGGCGCCTGATTGCGTACTACCTTGGTACGCCAGCGGAACCCTTTGAAACTCCGCAAAAGGCGCGGGCCGCATTTGAGTCCATTCTCCTGTATGAAATCAAACCGACGAAGATGAGCAAGATACTGGTGAGCAATATTATTACCAGTCTAGAGAACACCCCTCCCGCCTGGGGAAGCCGTGGATTCCTGGAGGCTATTACGCGCTGGCTAAATGGCAAAGAGCTTTCTGACCAGCTTGGTATTGGGAACTCCGGATATTACTACTATGGCTTGGTAATCGGATACTGTGCCGTTGTTAGTCTCTGGTGTTATTTTAACAGGGCTTTCCCATTTTTTGACAGGAGACACATTGCAGTATGTCGCGAACCCATGGACTTGAAGCTCCCTTAATTGGTTGCGCCTTTGAAAAGTTTTCTACGCATCCTATCAACATCCCAGACGTCATTGAAACTAACAAATGATAACAACCTCCAGAGAACGCGTCGCAGTTTCTGGAAAATTATCCTCGACGAAAAGGTCGGGCTCGGTAAAGAAGCCAAATTCGACTTCAAGTACATGCCTAGTAATGATCTAACCACTGAAACGGGTGCCAAGGTGGAGCGCACGAGGTCAACCATGGGAATCGAGTTGCTGGGCTATTTGGGTCTAGTGGGGGCCACGGCCGTGACGGCCGCAATGGGAATTGTTGGTTATGCGACTTACCTGATGAGACATGGAAGATGATGAAAACAATAAACCCGGGTTCGGTGGTTTGGCGATACGTTATGTTATTTTACCTTTTCCTTTTCTTTTTATTATTTTACATTTTGCAACATCCATTTTACATCGACCCTGCTATGAATTCCGACTCAATCTTATGAGCTAAGGCATTCACACAAAGAAGTCATGGTGGAATGAGTTATTTAATTTTGGGGGAAATATTGGTGAAACTAACTACAGCGTGTTCGCAAAAACGCTGGATATCCATATTGCGTAAAGTACACAATAAATCTTTGCTGCTATTGGAGGATATATATACAAATGTTAACTCGAATAGAAAAGGGGATCTCGCGTTGCTTTCTTTCTGTATTTTGTTTTTGAGGGATTTATTTTTCCCACATGATTATTGGCACCAGCAATATGAGCGGAATGGCGCTGCGATGTATAAGTAACTAACTCGAACAAACATGGCTCCCTCAACTGAAAGCGAGCAAACCTCAGAAGGTATGTAATTCGGTTATTGACTTTGGCAAAACAACGAACAAATTGATGTTTACAGGATATGTTTTACTTACTCTGAACGTGTAGTTGTTTCAGCCCAGAGACCCTTCGTGTAAGAGCCTGGGTTAATTTGATGGTTCAACTTTACAAAGGCGCCAAGTCGGTGGCTCAAACAATGCCATGGAGTCTTCTCAACCAGTCGTTAACGATCTATTCAGATCACCGCCAAACACGATTAAGTGGACCGTTCAACTGACTAACTACCAAGTGATCCTGCACGCCTGCTGTTTCATCATCCGGTGCCAAAGCAACCTCTGGCTGGGAATCTTCTTCAATCCATGACGGAGGAGTTCTAATCTCCTCTGTATCATACGCGATATAGCTTTTACAACTGCGAGGGTGCCAGCAATCACATCTTAGAAGAAAATACGTCGACCCTGGAAGAGGCCGCAGTTGCTGGCAGTTAGTTTGGTTCTAAGCGCCGCGATGGGGGTCATCTGGAGATCAATTCGAAGATTTTCCCGAGTGATCGCTACCGTTCTATTAATAAATAATCAACACATACTTCCATGGATGCCCCGATGGCGTGCAGATGGTTAAACTGGCGGCTCAAAGGCAAGGCGTCTGCCGGGTTCCTGCAGGCGGTTAAAGTTCTCTGGTGTGTTTGAAAGATCAAGCAACCAGAACTGTCTCGGCGCCAGTGGCCTGCACTCCTTTTTCATGACCCATGCAACATGAAAAGAAAAAAAAAAAAAAAAAACTGATCTGTGGGGCCTTTGGGCCTTTCGACCCAAACACAAAGAAGATACAGCTATGGCGAGCTGGCGCTAGCACCGATCGAAACGGCTTTGGCGGCCGAAGCTTGATCTGGCTCCATCTAGTTCATCTTCCCGACCCTTTCAACTCCTGCAGCTTCAACTGACCAGTCCAACAACGGCGTTTCTATCTTGGGGTCACGATCTGCTACTCCAACCCAAACAAGAGAGAATTTATTCCAATACTGACCGATTTGGAGACATTCTCTTCAGGCTAATGCGATATTTTATTGGTGGACGGTTTGATTTTAGTTTCATCCTTTATGTCCAAACTTTTGAAGAATGGAAAATTCCCGCCCGGAGAAAAGGGTCCGGGGAGCGTACCTGACCCATTGTAGAACTGAAAAACGAGAAGATGTGAGCAATTTCAATTGCAGAATGTGTGGTTTGTCCCAGAGCTAAACGCTTGGTGAAGAGAGCTTCCAGCTTCTCTTAGAGTTGTTTCGAACATGGGTCTCTCTGGTGACTAGTCCATCCGTTGACGCCGAACCAGCAGTACCATTTGCAGAATTGTAGAATGAGTACATATATATTGAAGGCTTTACTGCCATTCAACTCTTCCTTGCTTCTGTTCTACCACACCCATTCCTTCTTTTCAAAATTGGTTTCCTATTCCTTGTTTGTTTTGTTTCTTAGTTCACTTGTACCCGCATCTTTTGGCATTCTAAATTTTTATCGTACCCACACTCGCTGGCTTGGTAGTTTTGTTTTGACATATCGCTGCTGGTACGCGATATATATCCAGTTTCTATTCACACTCACTCCTCTATCGAATTTTATCATTTGGGTCCTGCAAGCATGACCTCTTCTTCTATGAGAGCTACACTGGGTGCAGTTGCGATTTTTGCCGTAGCAGTTCAGCAAACAGGTGCTACAGTATGTCCACATTGGTTGCTAATTCCCTTCATCTATATGTCGCTAACTAACCGCTTTGTACAGTATTCTTGGGGCACGAACAAGTTCTTCCCCAGTCCTTCGAACTGTGACAACAAGTGCTCCGATGCCCAGAAGACTGGGTTTGACTGGAAAACCCTTTCGGTCGGACCTTTCACTTCATTTGGCGATTTTGATTTCTCAGGATTTACCTGCAGTGATCAGAAGCCCGTTGAGTCAAATTTCCAGGTACCACAGCCGCCACTTCTTACCAGTGATGCCAGAATTGAACATGATTTTAACATTGACCCCAGAACAAATGCATTCGAGGCAAACTGCTCAGGGGTTCCTCTAGCGATGGGCCAAACATCTCGTACGGGAAATCCACCGGTTTCTCCATCAACGCTTTCCAGATCACAACCGAGCAGGACACGGATGTCGGCTTTTTGTACACAATGCCGGATGGCTCCACCTGCAAACACACCACTCCCTGTTCCAAGGGCGGTTCTGAAGTTCAGAATACACAGTGTGGAGGAGCGGTCAGTGTGAAGTTCAGCCTCCCAGAATACAGTAACCTGGATGGTTGTGGATTTGCAATCCACAAAATAGATTTTGACTGTGAGGTTTCAAAAACCCCCCTCAACAAGGCTTTTGAGCCACCCAAGGACGATTATCCTACCTATCCAACAAGCCCCAGCCCTGGCCCTGAGACTAAAGTCCCGTCTTTTTCCCTATCTTTACCCTGGGTTACTCCATCACCTAAGTCGTATTCAGAACCATTGCCGAATGGGACACAACCTCCAGAAACTATTTCGGAAATCCCCTCGGAGACCCCATCAGAGGCGCCTTCAGAATACCCTTTGGAAACGCCCCACCCGGTGAACATGACTTCGGGAACCCCCCCGCCACAAATGACGCCTTCGGAGACGACTCCTCCAAATGGGACACCTTCCCCGACCGATATTATATCCTACTCAACTTCAACGGTGTATGCAACTACCAAAGTTACTATTACCAATTGTCCCCCAGGAGTTCCTTCATGTCCTGCTGGTTCCACCAAAATTGTCACTTCCACTGTCGCTATCTCAACTACAATTTGCCCAGTGACTATCACGCAAACATCCCCTGGTCCAATTGCTACAAATCCAAACCCCAGATATCCAACGCCATCAGATACAAGTGCCTCAATCTCTGTCTCTCCAGTTTCAGATACTACTTACCCCGTTAACATTCCAATTCCAACTCCTTCTACTCCCTCTGCTCCTGTCTCAAGTACTACTTACCCAATTAACATCCAAATTCCTACCCCTTCTATTCCTCCGGTTTCGATCCCTGACCCTTCATATCCCGTTGGCCAATCTACGAGGACAGCTAATTTAAGTATTCTACCCGTCTCCGACACCCCTCCACCGGGCGTTTCTGTAACTGATATGTAAGTCTAACCTCTCCGTGGGATGTATTTGCATCCCCGAAAAGTGGAATTAAAGGACACAGGCTAATGAAAACCTATAGTACATATATCACTGTCACTAACTGCCCAGTTACAAACACTATCACCTCTGGTACCTCTGAAATAATAATTACTACTTCAACGCTTTCCACCATTACAGTAACGACCACCGGCACTGTATGCCCAGGATGCGCTATTCCTACCTCCCCCGGCTTACCTGATACCTACTATGTAACACCTTCCCCTCCTGCACCTCCCATCACTGGCCCATATCCATCGTCGGCTCTACCTGTTACCAATTCACCTATCCCTTCGCCTTCTGGGATACCTCCCGTTGTTCGAATTGAAGCACCATGTCCAAATATAGTGCCGCAGTGTCTAAACACCTGGCTCTATAAGGTTCCTAAATGTTCTTCGAACAGTGAAACCAGCTGCTTCTGCCCTTCCCCCGACTTCACATCATTAGTGATTGAATGTATCCAGTCTTGGGGTACGTCTAAGGCCGAAATCCAAACTGCTCTATCCTATTTCACTGGTATCTGTGCTGCATATGTCCCCGAAAATCCTGGCATTGTCACAGCGATCCCATCGACAATTGACCTTACCCCGCAGCCGCCTCCGCCATCTACCGCTGCTCCAACAGATGACTCGTATCCCTTAACCCCTGCATCTGAACCTGCATACACCACATTCGCTGTCTCTCAAGTGATATCCGTGTCTGGCACAGGACCTACCACTGTCAGCTCAATGGTCACTGTACCCCATGTACAGTTCATTACCGAAACTGCTGCTGGCCCAACCTATGCTGTCGATGTGGGTCTTGTTCCGGTAGCAACGGCTCTTCCCGTTAAGACCCCGGAAGAGAACCCACCCACATATGACACGGTGAACCAGGCCTCGGGCTTCACCACTGTGCCAGTTATGCCCACGTCTAGCCAATATATCGATTTCTTTACAGGAGCCGGTTTCTCACTATCGGTCCCATTTACCTTGTGGATGGTATCAGGCATTACCGTTGTTATGGGTCTCTTGCAGTAGCGGGATTTCAGTTTGCCTAAGTTCATATTTATATCCTTCCCCCCTCTCTTTTTGACATTGTTCTTGAAATTTCTTATTTGTCATATACACGATTGACTTGGTTGCCTATGCTGCGGACATTCTTTTCGTTAAACTCGTTTCCTCTATATATTCGTAAAACATATCAGCGTGTTTGGTTCATACATTGTTTCTTTTCTTTTAGACAGTATCCATGTTTTGAATTTCAGTTCATTTACCCTCTCTGTCATCTACATCTGGCTTCTATTGATAATGAAAATTAGAATGGCATAAATAACAAGGTCATAATTAGAATTGAACTTTCATTTTGTACTTTTCTGTAGGTACTCCAACTGACATCAACAGGGGTCAAACAGCACAAGTCAATATATAAATCCAGCTCTACAGCATAAAACAAGTGCATCTATGAATGAAGTGAGAACAAACATATGTAAGGAGTAACTACTTAGGAATCTCCAGTATAAAATGTTTATTTCACCTGCAAGACAGCTTGGATAGTTGCTCTCATCAATTTTTCTATGACCAGTCAGAGCATGCTTAAAGCCATTCAATCATCGAAAACAGACCAGTGTTAGTGTGATCAGATTGAAAGTGTGCCAATTAATTATTGCAGTTCTGCTACATGGTCTTTGAATAGTCAACAGAAAGAACAAATAAGAGTCTCATATTTTCCTGCATTTAGCATGTCAACATCTCTGAAAGAGGATATATTGAAATTAATCATAGCAATGCCATCATTTAATCACAATAATAGGGAGTTGGTTGTGGAAAAGAGAATGATATCATGATGACATGCCAGAAAAATCATTGATATAGACAGTGAGTGCCATCAGAATGTTGGGAAATTGAGCAGAAACAGGTAACTGTCTAAATATGATTGAAGAGACCCCTGACCCACTCAAGATAGTTAGTTTTAGTCCAATCATCAAGGAAATAGAATGAAATTTTGTGAGAGTAATCTCTGTACACCTTTAATGAGGTTTATTAGGACAACTTTTGTAAACCATAAATTAATCATCACAATTACTTTAACCATAGGAGATTTGATTGTCTTTAAGAGTAACTCTTGCTGAGAGGCTGATGAGAAAGCAAATGAAGCCCCTACTGCAATATCTTAAAGGGAACATTTACATATGTGTAACTATATACATAAACATCCTTGCATTAATAGTCAAGGGATGAAATACTAAATAAATACAACATTCAGAATCACAGACTTGGACGCATTTCATTCCAATCATCACATCGAGTTTTCATGTAAAATTCGCGAGGCAATGGCACCGTTTAATGCATGATAGCATGTCTCATTCACCCGAACACCAAGGCTCTTACTTCAATGCTTTCTCTCCCGGGTGCACCGGGAGGTGTTCCGGGGTCAACAAATGCCGTATGTGGAACCCTCTTCCCCTTAACATCCTTTGAATCCGAGCACTTCAGCAACAGCCTCTCATCGTTTGCCATGCCTGACCAGCAATACCATTGCTGGCTCTCATTATGCTTGATACCAGCCGTTTCTCCCGTCAAGTTGGAATACCGATGTTCAATGCCCACTATATCCTCGTCGCGCGCACGGACGTTGCCGCTGCAAAGGTGAGAAGAGTGGCTTGAACCGGCTCATTTAATGGTCTTCTCCAATTCTGGGTAGTAGACCGATCTCACATTCTCTTCGTCTGTAAAAGAAGGCTCCGCTGCAGACGGGATGTTTTGAAAGACTTGAAAAGCGTCGTGATCAAGGGTGAACTGGGATTCACAGTTTCGAACGTCTTTAACGGTGACTTTGTGTCCAGCATTGCCATAATTGGTTTTCGGGGCGCCTGGAGCAGGATTCTCGACAAAACTGTACGGTCGAGATCCATCACTTGGGGGTTCGTAGAAGGATATAACTGTTTCCACTGGCCTTCTGGGAATGTAGGTGGCGTCCTTATCAGAGCCAAAGAGTTCCCATTTCCTTGGAACGATCCAGTAGACTCACGATTTGGAGATATCAGAGGAGATTTCTTCACCGGCCCTTAAGGCAGTTCAACTACCCTGCTTCGCTGCCGCTCAGTCAGTCGCATTTGCAATAACATTCCTAGGAACCATGTCGTGCCTGTTGCTAGCAGCATGATGTCCTTGTAGGGGACTTAGAGTAAGTTTCCAATTGCTGGCATGTATGCAACAAGAGCTGAGAGGATCCTGAGATATGACTCAGTATGGACAACAATATAGCAGGTCTTGAGCATCTACTTTCTGTCATTCGATCCCCTCCTCTGTCCAGATTCCTGTTCAATTGAGCGGGCTTATTGTAGCGTGGCTCATAATCCGGCAACGTGGGATCAAAGACTGAAAGACGGCCATTATCTTAGACGATATCATCTTATTTATGCACCTAGCTCTTTCATTAAAAATAGTTGCAATGTGAATACTTCTATGAAGAATCCGAGAAACTTAATGCGTTTTCCTTGAAGACCGGATTTTCGGAACTATATTGTATCACGTGATATATCCATTCACGAGGCATCCTTTGGGTTCCACCCATCATCTGCTTCATTTCAACAACACGATATCGTCTACTGTACAACTTCACCATCCCCGATATAATATATACAGGCCTTTTCATTCATAATTCTATCATTCATTCCATAAGACCATTCCTGTTAACACTTCTATCCAACCGCGACGGCCACGCCCATTGTCACAAACATTTTGGCGTCAGAGAGAACCTTAGGCGTGCATTGTGTTCTGGCAATTGCAGTCTTCTCCCTCCTGCTTCACCACTTTAACAACATAAAATTATCCTTTCAATATCCGTCATTATATAACCAAATGCCCCGCTACCTATATTCATATCCTTGAAGAACCGTTAGCTGCCACCCGAGCCACCTTCCTCGAGGTCTGGCGAGCAACAAAAAGAGACCCTGAACCGACAACAGCGCAGCGTCATCTGCTCCCACAAGAATTGCAGATTCAGCCTTATCTCGAGCCGATGCCCATAAACCTTTCTCACCTACCCCGGACTCACCACCACTTCCAGTTCTTATTGGTGTCAGACTGTTTTTACTCCTACTCTCTCTCTCTCTCTCTGTGCTAAGCAACAAAGCGCCAGGTCAAAAGGCGTGTCACCAACGCAGGTATGTTTGTCTTGTTTGTCTGAACTTTAATCAACTTGAATCGGCAAAGCTACTGCATGCGGCTGTTGCCCTCTCATATCCCTTTTTCTATAATTTACATTACCTCCCATGACTAGTCCTTATTTTCTAACCCTCCTATATTCATAGATTATTTATCGCCAGGATTGTTCAACCTCGGACAAAGAACCGTTGCATTTGGATCCAACCATCCATCGCATCATATCACCAGCCACAATCGACAAGTGAAGCGACCCTGGGAACAATAACATCATAATTATGTGCTAAATTTTGTCTCCTGAGTTTGAATCATTCGATCAAATTTATTCCTGCTATTGCGTGCCTTCTGTTATAGGTTGAACATTATTCAATTAGTCGACTTGTGCTGTGGGAATTTCTTGTCCCGTACAGGCGTTGAGTTTCAGGATCCTCTTCTTGATTGCATCGTTGATGAGCCTCGTCATCTCATCACTTCGCCCACCATACCAACCACATAGCCTCGCGTTTGAGCAACTAACACACCAATGGCGTACTCTCCACGGCCTATTTCGCCAAATATGACAGCAGGCCCATCCCATGGCTTGGGTGGAGCCCAGTCTCACAGAATGACTTCCAACGCTCGAAATCGTTCTAGGTCTCCCCCGGCTAACCCTCAGCCTGTCTCCAAGCGTGATAAAAGGCGAAGTGCTCTCCAGGATCGGGTGCAAGACCTCACAGAAACGTTCAGCAATGAACGTGACTACCATTTTCGCAAACAAGTTCACGATCTTCAAACCGAGATGACCCTGATTTCCAACTCCCAACTATATGACACTGAACCATTGAGCGACTCGCCAGAAACCATTTCAAAGCTTGTTGAGCAACTATCCGCAGCGGGCCATCTAGTGCCAGAAACGATCCCTTCGGGAAAGTGGTATGCAAATTTTGTGCAGGAAATGAATCAAACGAAAGAAGAGCGAGATTTAGAACTCGCCACCTTAATGGTAAGCTGATCCATCCCGCACGTCCCGATTCTTTCTTCAGCTCTTGACCTGATCATTTCTCCGTAGAATCGCCATCGCGACCAATTTTCACGCATTAAACGAGAACATGACTTCAAAATCCAGTTCGCACACCAGGAATGCACAAAACTTGGGGAGACGATCAGGGAACGAGTGGTTATGTCAATTTCCCAGAAGAAAAATAGACTGATGAAGGAGAAGGAACAACTAGACCTTGCAGATACCAACGCGCTACTCCTCCATCCAAATCAGTTTTCAATTGCAAACCCCGCAAGCCCTGGAGGGCTTCAAACTAATAGAAAGACTAGGCACACACGCCATAGAGTTGATGTAGATGACATTGGGAATGGAATTGGCTCTGAGCCAGCCAATAAAAGGAAACGAAAAGGCATAGTCGACGATGACTTCGATTCTCCTGCGAGAGATGGGGGTATGTCAACACCGGCAGACCGAACAAAGGTGAGGATGAGTCAACACCAAAACGCTGCAAGTTACCACATATCCTCTCTATTCACCGAGAAGGAATTGGCAATGCACAGTAACAGCGCCCACGTCGCCGCTCTCCATTTTCTCGCTGCCTCCAAAAGGGCTAAGCAGCAAGCCTCAACCCCGGCGACGAACGGTCAAAATGCTGACGGCGGCGATGATCTAGCTGGCTCCGGCGACGGGAGTGGACAGGAAGACACAAATGCCGCGCCCGAAATGGAACGAACAGCTAGCCAGGGCTATCACGCGACGCGTTCGACACGTAACACGGGTGCTGGTACTTCAGGCTTGACACTCCTCGGCGAACTTGCAGACAAGACAGCCACACGGCCCAACCTGCCCTATTTCATTCTAGGAAATTACCACGCACGGCCCAACGGGTCCGGGTCTGCACCGCCGCCACCACCGCTCATGCCAGAGGAGATCGAGGACGATCTAGCCCGTATCGAGAGACTAGCGAGCAAGCCTCAGGGATGGATCGACACTCGCTTGGTCAATGAGCTTGTCGAGGCGACACATGAGCATGATCAGGATCATGACAAGATTGTTGACGGGTTTTTCCTTGAGAGTTCGGAGAGGTTTGGTTCGCTGCACCCTGATTTCCCGCCGGAGATGGATGTGCATTTGGTTCGTCTGTATCCCCGCAAAGAAACCTGAGGCTGCAAAATTTGCCTTTTTCGGTGATTGGATTTGGGCCTTGGCTGGGTGACGGGTTTCAAAAACTTTGACAGGACAAATACATATGACCGTGTAATACAGCGTAGGCGTGTTTTGTGTTTTGATGTAATTTCACTTGGAGCGCTATGTGAGGACCGGGTTTTTACCTGATGTTGCAGCAATTCGGCTTTTTCTTTCTCCTTGAGCACCGATGGAAGTCGTTGGTTTTCTTCTTCCACTCTTTTGAGTATACATAATTACGCCTTTAAGATACATTTTATTAATTTTTTATTTCTTATTGTTTAAATAGACATTATCACATGCTTGATGTCAATTTTGCGTTAAGTCTCCTCTAGCCTAGAAGTGATTCAACATGAGAAACTTTATCTTTGAACCAAGGACAATGCAGCCACTTTATTCCCTATATAAAATATATGAGTTGGATGTTTACAGCAGTTAAAGAGTCTTCTCTACATAGTATATTTCTTTTGATTATTTAAATAGGTTAAATTGTATATTGCATCTATGGTACATCTCAACTCAGGGATGATGGTTTTTCAATTGCGATTGCTTATGGTGATACAGGTAAATGACAAGAGAGAAACAAGAATTCCCACAATTATATGAAGAATAAATACGTGCAATAGCTCACGATCATCAAAGACAATTTCAAAGTCAAATAACTATAACAGAGTACTACTTCATACAAATAAAAGAAACAAGATAAAGTATGACGAACTAAAGAAACACTATCCTCTCTCAAAAGATGTAAATCCTTCAGACAATAAACTCTCCTTTCATATTTATGGAATGAGAACAGGGTTTGAATTCAAATTAGTTGAAAAAACTCAATTTTTCTTTAATATATATATATATATATATATATATATATATTTTGGGGGGGGGGGGGGGAAACTCTGATCTCTCGACTATTCGATTTCAATCAGCGTTTTTATAGCAACGGATCATTCGTTTTTATCCCCAGACTACGCTAACTAACTATGGCTCATGCCAGCTGAATTATGCAAGCAAAATAAATAAAAGCTAGTTTTAGTGGCGTTTTCCGGTTGGATATTTTTGGGTGGCGGCGGTCTCTTCGGCAGGGGAGCTCGCCGGCCGCCGCCGTTTGACACTATTTCATACCCTACCACATCCCGAAACTTTATCTCTACAATTTCATAATCGGCATATATCAGGGCCAAAGACAATTCCAGAACATTCAAATTCGCCTTTCACATGCCAAGGGCTATTTTCTACCTACAGACAAAATAAAAAACATAGAAAGTAAATATGTGAAGAATTACAATACAATAGATTTTTTTTTTTTTTTTTTAAAAAAAAAGAAAAAACTCCTGAATATGAGCAACTTGTTATATAGAGATAGATGAATATATCGACTCTCTTAAAGAAAAATAAGAGAAGGGCAGGAAAGAAGAGCTCAAACACTAAGCAGAAATATCTCAATTTTTTTTAAAGGGGGAAACTTTTTGCTGCACCAGCTATTTTATTTCCGCCCAGATATTCCCTTTCTTCTATTGCATATTTTCCAACATGTTCTTCGCCCTCCTCCTCGTCTTACATGGTCCATTAACCCAACATGTTGCC